AGATGACTTGTCTCTTGACAATACCTTGCTAACACGACACAAAAATTATTGCTTTAAACTTATAATGAACTTATGGAGCTGGTAACAGATAATGAATGTTTAGTCAGGAACTAGTCTTAATGAAAATACATATAAACAATTCTGCTATAACTCCTTAAGCCTTGGTGACCTATGACATAAATTTATGTCTAAAAAAAACCAAACAAACAAAACCCATGTGATCAATTATCCTGAGAATGTATAAAAACTGAGAAAAACTACAATAAAACAGTAACTTGGCCTTTCTCTCCTTGATCCAGTATGTGTGTGTCTCTGTATGTGTGCCTTTCTTTTCTTCTTGCTCTGATTTCTTTTCTTTTCCTTTTCTTTTTTCTCTGGCTCAATAAGAGTTAAGGAATTCCAAGTCTCTCGCCTGGCCAGTGAGAGGCCTGATCACAAAGAAATGTACCAAAGTAATTAAGTTTCTTTTCCCCTGCTGCTATTCTGGAGGAGTTAAAGTGCCAGAAGCCAGTGGCTTTTGGCCACAGAACAGCAAAGAGTTAAAATAAGAGTTAAATTGCCAAAAGTAAGCATCTTTTGGCCCTGGAATCACCAATGCCACCCTTGCTGCCTTTCTCAGGGAACTGTGATGCTAGGCTGGACCCCAGCAGTCTAGCACTACCATGAATTATGTACACCTTACCAGTTAGGACACAGGCTACATATGCTCATCAGATCCACATATGTACTAAGGAAGCTGAGAAGAGGGGAATTCTGAGCCCGGGAACAACTCATGAAGAGAGGCAATGGATGTAGCATGACAATACTTGTGTAGATTAAAATAAGGTGTCTGGAGACACTTTGAGTCTCCTGTGGTCAGGCAAAATATCAGGGACATTCTATGAGTAAAAATTCAACCACACAAATCAGGCAGAGCCTGTACAAGTCTCCTCTTTTTGAAGAGCCCTCTTTCATGCGGCTATGGTTAGCTGAGAACACTGCAACAGGGTTTTCAATCATGTTACTGTGGATACTCTGGACTTAAGTTTTTCTAGTGGAATAGTGTGATGTATCTTGTCCACCAACCTGATTGGATTGAGAAGTACCTAGAAGAACATAATAACACCCTCCTCTAGGTAAGTCTTTGAGGCTGTTTATAGACAGACTGATCTAAAAGCTCATGTTCTCGTTGAGTTACACCATAAGTCAGTTCACACAGAGTCATTAGAGTCTCATGTGCCTTATGTGTTTCAAGATAAAAAGCAGATAGACATTCTCAAAAAACTTCTACAATAGCAAATATCTACAAGGATGTCTGTGAACTAGGTGATACTATGTTAAGGTCTCACCATCCAGTATCTTATTTATCCCCTCATCAAAACTATGAGACAGATATTATTATACTCAGTTACAGAGAAGAAAGCCAAGGCTTAAAAATAGTACACTTCCATAGTAACTCAATACCCGAATGACTAAACACAAGTCAAACTACACTATTTATATGTACACCAGACTTGGAATATTCAATATAATAATCCTGGCCACATTAAAATTAAATATAACTTATAATCTATATTACCTACATTCTACATTCATGCACTATGCTACCATATTAGAAGATACAGAGAGAGAGCATGGCATTAGGGAAATTCTATTGGGCAGCCTGGTATAGACATTTTCTATCCAAAACATCCCTGTCAGCTAATATTAGTAGTCTTCAAATTACCAAAAGGAGCCAAAGGCTATAAGAACTCAGATTACTTCCTAAGCTCCCACTGCTTCAAGACGATGTTCGGGCAAACATGACTTTTAAATTCTTACCTTCTGAGCCCAGAGTTTGGTCTTTACCATGCAGAAAAGCCTGAGTTGTCCAATCAACAGATGATTGATTTGATTATATATTGAGAAAACATTATAACTTCTTTACAGGATATTTGTGAGTAATCTAAGATAATGGAAATCAATGTAAGTACAAAAATTCTGGAGTAAATATAGACTATCCTGAAGCATTTCCACTATGTTTTTATTTTTAAACTTAGTTGCATTATGTTTAGCTATACTTAGCTTCACAAAGGGGCCTTGTCTTGACTCAAAACAAAAACGGTAACTTATATTTGCTTTTCAGAAATAATCCTCACAGGGTCATGTTTTGTGTATAGCAAAACATGTCCAGACAGTGACACTATTGATAAACCCTCTTTAGGAGATAAGGTCTGGCTGGCTTTAAGGCACTAGGGATGATCCTTTGAAAGTTATAGCTTGCCCTTGATTCTGGACTTTGCTTTCTGGACTTCTGTAACATGAACAATCTCTGGTGTACGTGCCCATGAATTTTCATACAATGCTATGACTTCCTCATAATGAACTAAAAATATGAGCCAAAGTAGACTTCTCCTTCCTTCAGTTGTTTTAACTGAGTACTGTGGTCACAGTGACACAAAAGTAACTAATACAAGCCAAGCTTTGTTTCATGTGTATGTGTGTACAGAATCAAATTAGGTGCCAGGCTATCTAAGAGTTACTCTCTTAATGCTAAATTTTCAATCTTTTCAGAATTAACATTGCCTGACCAAGTCATGATTTTCTTCATACCCCAATACTCACAGTGTATGTGACAGTGCTCAGACTCCAACCATTGTACCCAGTATGACAGACTTCAACCCAGTCTTCACTCCCAGTATCTCAAACTTGACTACTTTGAGAGCCACCTGGCAAGTTTCTAAGAGTTAGAAACACAGGCACATGTGGGTTGATTAACCAGAATTGTTTGATGTAGAATTGCAGTGGTACTTAGTGCAAAACTCCCCATGTCATTTCAAAGTGAAGCTAAGACTAAGCCAGGACTAGAATATAGCCTTCGTTAATTGTAAGCCCAACTCTTGAATTTATCTAGGCATGATTGTAAGTGGTATCAGACCCTCTCCCCACCTACTTACTCAATGGCTTATCACTGACTGCACATTGAGATTGGGAAACACTGTCATAACTTGCTAATTCTTGGGTCCTCTGAAACCCTCTTTGAGGGCTTGGAGTAGACCCTGCTTTTCACCTACAGAGGGAGGCGTCTGGACTGAGCGATCCTCAACAGCCTTTCCCTTGTAAAGGTATATAGTTTCGTGAGAGTGTTTCATCCATGTGGAGGAATAACGGTAATGAAGAAAAGAGGATAAAAAGAATCAAAGAAAACCACCTACATCTCAACTTTATTGGAACACTGCAAACACTTGGGAAATGCAGGGTTAGAGTGAAATGCAAGGAGAGTTTGGGGCATTTCATGCATGTGAAAATACCTGTTTATAAATAATTTCCAGAGCCTTTTCAAGGTCTGGGCTCCAGCATTCTGCAGATCCACCTGAAAGAATGATTTCAACCAAAGTGTCAACTGGTGTCCTCAACTGATGTCCTTCCTGTTCTTCTGAAGCAGTGAGAAAGAGCTGTGTGTCATCTACCCTGAGCTGCTCTGGATATGCCTCTGTCCACACTGGAATTAAAGACACAAACAGTAAACAATTCAGTGAAACCATGCTCCTTAGTTGTGTGATGTGGTCCATGCTGGTTGCCAAACATCCTTGTTATTCGATAGTTGGCCACTGGAGGGCAGAATAGAATCAATATAGCCTAGGCTATTTGTAGTTTTTAGAGCTTTCCCTTTGACTCAAGCAGGAAAAAGGGTCATTTTTCTCTATGTATGCGTTAAAACTCATTTTTGAACCAGGCAATGATGGTGCACACCTTTAATCCCAGTAATTGGGAAGTAGAGGCAGGCATATTTCTGAGTTTGAGGCCAGCCTGATAGACAGAGGAAGTTCTAGGGCAGCCTGGACTACACAGAGAAATCCTCAAAACAAACAAAACTCCCTATTTTTAAAACAAAATATGCTCTTGAGGCATTACAGAATTATAATAGCACAGAAATTATAATTCATCTAAATAGAAGCAATATGGAGCTAAATGGGACATTAAAATATTTATAAAATTATGAAAGAAATATATACATAGTCATATGATACCTCAAGCAGTTTTTCTTTGTGAAGTCATCTAACATTTGGAAAGGTAAGAGGGAGTGTGTATATCAGCTATAACAAAAAAAGAAATGAAGAAACAGATATTTTTGTAATGGTTGGTACTGATTGGTTGCTTTACTAGATTTAGAATTAACTAGGACACTCATTTCTGACTGTAACTATGAGGATGTTTCCAGAAAGGATTAGCCAAGAAGGGAAGACCCACTCTCAATATGAACAACACCATCCTGTGGACTAGGGACTTGGACTGAGTAAAAGGAGAAAGAGAGCTGACACCAGCATTCAACTCTGTGCTTCCTGGATGTAGATGTGATATGACCACCACGGTCACACTCCTCACACACCACAACAGAGTGTATTCCTTCAAACTACCAACAACAGTAAACCGTCCTTCCTTAAGCTGCCTTTGTCAGATATTTTTTCACAGCGACAAGATAAGTTATTAGCACACTTTCCCTCATCCCCACTAACGCTGGCTTTATCATAGCAGATAGAGGTCTCCCTTCCCCCGACTCCTTTCTCTCTTCTAAGCCCAGATGCCTTCCACTCTTCTTTGATACTTTCTACCTTCAAATCTAAAAGATGAAAAGCAACCCTTTGAATCTGGAAGTTACTGAACCACTCAGCCTGTTTTACTTTCTATTTGTTTGTTTCTTCCATTAGGAGCACAAACAGCCCGACCATCTTTGCACACCTTCTTCAGAAACTGAGGCTGTAGCAGACTGAAAACCAGCATGGTCCAAACTCTCCTTGGAGCATCTATCCTCTCCCTGAACAAGAAACATGTGCACAGAAATCCCAGTGTTATAGAAGATCCATTACTGAAATTATTAACACACTTTTACAAGAAAGAAAAGAAAGAAAGAAAAAGAGAAAGAAAGAAAGAAAGAAAGAAAGGAAGGAAGGAAGGAAGGAAGGAAGGAAGAAAGAAAGAAAGAAAGAAAGAAAGAAAGAAAGACAGTGCTCACCCTCCTGATCATGTGATTCCCAGTCAAATACCAGACCACAAAGTTGCATATCTTTATTTTCAACCAGATTCTTGACTTCTGAAATAAATTTGTAAATATGTTAAAACTCTTTTGATGGGGAGTAAGCACAATTTAAAATTTACAATCTTTCAAGGCAACACTGCTTAGAAACTGCATGCTTAGACATAATATCTTTAACAACAAATTATTATGAAAATATTTTTCAGGAGGAAAGTTAACACTAAAAATACTTTAAAGGAAATATAATCATCACCACCACCCACTTAATCTAAGAACTCTATATTTAAACAAGTATTATTTGGGGGTGTTCTCCAAAACAACTACTTACAAAATACTCTCATAATTTTATGTACTATTCACTAAATGTACACTTGATTCAAAGTATAAAATGCAATTTTTTACAAAGCACTTTTTATAAGATTCATTACCTTCAAAGAATTTATAACTTTCTATATGCTAACAAATATAAAAATACAGCTGGGTGTGTTCATATATACTTGTAATCTCAGAACTTGAGATGTAAGCAGGAGGATCATGAACTTGATGCTAGTCTGGGCTACACAGTGGGGAAGAAGATGTGTATCCCAGGAAAGAAAAAAAATCAAACATTCACTTCCTGCTGACAGTCACAGGACTCTGGTTTCATAATCGGAGCTTGAGAGAAACCAGTAGCACCTCTTGTTAGGCAGATACTTTTATCTTCTGAGAGATTCTAACCTCTTTGTTTCCTCCCCTAGCCTTCACTACGAAGATCTTAACTGTTCTAAAATTCAAAACAATTATCAACTCCCAAAACAACAAAAATCCTAAACCTTTCTGAAATGGCTACATTTAGCATTGTTTGTGTGGAGAAGCCATCTGGAAAGTGTGACTGAAGCCCTCACACTCAGCCTGGAACACAGAGGGCAATAGTTAGGCTTTCATGACTCCTGGAGTGCACAACTTGCTTCTAAAATGAATCTCCCAGATATGATGATTGCTAAGTAAATAGAGAAAATTGGTGTTCTTCTCTCATCTCTTGGACCCTCTGCTCAAGGTTATAAAGTTCCGAGTTCAAACTATGTAAACAGTCCTCATCTAGAATCACAAGGGGTTCGTGTTATTCCTAGACCTCAGGCTCATGATTCACAATCCTGGTGTTTCACAGCCGTCTGGCTACCCTTCAGGATCAAAGCTGGTATGGTAAGATTTAGGTCTGAAGGCAGGAGCAAAATGCCAGCCTGAGACAACATTATATTCAGGCTGTAAAATGAGACTACCTTCCTAGGCCAAACTCTTTCCTCTATTTTTCCCTTGTATTTGCTGTTTTCCCCAACCTAATTAAGCCTAGGGGTTCTTGTTCACTTCTAATTCCAATTTACCTCAAGTTCTGCTGACTCTACATTTTATATGCAGAAGTGGTTCTTCCCTGTTGGCAATCAGGCACATCCGTGGACAGCAAGAAGCGACTTTATGCCAACTAGGCATATTTACAGCCACCTCTCAGGAACCCAGCTACGAGACATGTCATCTCTAGGTAACAGTGGCACCCCTGCGTCCCTCCCTTTGCACATGTGCCGTGGCCCCTGCCTCGTGTCTCTTTGTGCATGCTTCCCCTCCCAAAGACTCTTTCTCCTCGCCTCCCCCGCCCCCATTTCAGCTTTAAAAGACCCAATCTATCTAAAATAAATATCAAAAAGATGCACGTATCTTGGGCCCTCTATGATACTAATTTCTTTTTTTAAAAGAACAATTGTATCCCCTAAGTTACATAGAAAAGCTAAGTGATACACAAAGCTCAACCCAGGTCATAAACCAGTAGAAACTTCTTGTTCTCCCGTGGACCGTGTATATACTGAGCTTACACGATCTGGATTATCGTGCTGGAAAATTGAACAGCGTTTGCAAAAGCGTTTGACAATGTGTTTTCGGAAGAACACTGAGAGATAATTCCGGAACTTCTCCCCAACGAAGGCATAGATGACAGGGTTTAGGCAGCAGTGTGTCATCCCAAGAGTCTCTGTCGCCTGCATGGCCTGGTCTAGTCTATTAGAACTACTGCAGTTATTCAGTCCAAAGAATTCCTGGAAGGTGGTCAGGAGGAGGACAATGTTGTATGGAGCCCAGAAGAGAAAGTAGACAACCATGATGGCAAAGATGAGCCTCACAGCCCTGTGCCTCTTCTTCTCATTCCTACAGCGAAACAGGGTGTGGAGGATTCCTGAGTAGCAGATGACCATGACCAGTAGGGGCAGGATCAGGCTCAAGATGACCATCTTTAATGTTTGGAAACTCTTCCAGAAATGATATTGAGTGTGTGGAAAATGAGGGCTGCATGTATAATGAAAACCTTCTTTCTGAGACCTGGTAAAGATTATTTCTGGGAGAGAGGCAAACACAGCCACCACCCAAGTGACTACACTTGTTATCACCCCAAAGTTGACCGTTCTGGCTTTTAAAGCAAACACGGCATGGACAATAGCCAAGTACCTATCAATCGTCAGGAGGATAATGAAGAAGATTCCACCGAAGTATCCAATGTGATAGAGTCCTGTGAATACTTTACACATGATATTCCCAAAGACCCAATCATTTGCAGCATAGTGAGCCCAGAACGGGAGCGTGAGGAGGAAGAGCAGGTCAGAGATGGCCAGGTTGAACAGGTAGATATCAGTCATGCTCTTCAGCTTTTTACAGCTTATCAAGATGAGGAAGACCATCATATTGCCCACAAAACCAAAGATGAATACCAGGGAGTAGAGTGGGGGCAGGAGCTGGGCTGCAATTTGTTTCACATTGATTTTTTGGCAGGGTGCTGACATACCATAATCGTCATAGGCATAGGTAGCAATTGACCCTTGAAAATCCATCTTGCAAAAGCCTATGAATAAATAAAAAACAATGCTTAATAAAGTTTAAAGCAGTTACTGGCCTACCATAATTATTGTTTTATAACTTAAGTAGATCTTTGAGGCATAGATTTCTACATTTAATTTTCCCATCATCAGATGGGTCGAAATTCACCAAAGATGTGTTTCATCAAATAAAATTTTGCTTTCCATATCAATGTGGGGTGAATTAATCTGTGAAACTGAGTCAGGGCCTATGTAACTCATGGGCTTAAGATCTCTAATGAAGATGCTGTTTCTAGGTGTTTATCCATAAATGCTACATTTCACACAAATGCCAGTAAGAATGAGTAGCGGGTGCTAATCACTATTCAAAGCTTCTTACATATGCATTTGCTAAATGTTTGAGTTAATTGTTTGAGGCAGACAATATACTGTTTATGTCTTTCTAGACAAATCATTCCCCAAGTACAGAGAGAAAGAATAAGTTAATACAAAACCACACCACCAGGAAGTAACTGACTTTGAATTTGGACAGTATGAAACCTTAACTGACATATGCTGCTTGTCACTCTGGTAACTAATAAGATCTCTCTCTCTCTCTCTCTCTCTCTCTCTCTCTCTCTCTCTCTCTCTCTCTCTCTCTCTCTCTCTCTCTCTCTAACATGATTTGCTCTGAGCTTCCCAGAACACTGGCTCTTTCTAGATGGTAACCGATTGGGAGAGCAGTAGAAGGGTGGGGGCCAAAACTTTATTCTCCAAGAATAAAGGTTGCTTAGTATAAATAATATTTATTCTCCTTGAGTCTGCATTGTTCTGGGGCCAGAAGCCAAAGGCTTCAGAGTAATTAACACCTGTTGCTTAACAACAGGGGATTAAGTAAAGGATTTGTTGCAAGTGCTCTTTTCTCTGGTCAGGCAGCCAGAACTGGTTAACGCTTCTTGAATCAGAGAGAGAAAGACGTCGCTCACACAGATACATACACACTAGGTGAAACAGAAAATGACTGCATCACTACATTTGGATGGATGGATGGATGGATGGATGGATGGATGGATGGATGGATGGGTAGGTGAGTAGATGGCACAGATTCCCATCCCCCAGCTACCCCCTCATCTTTATTTCTTTTCTCTGGCCTTTTTACAGACAAAAGTTATTAGATAACTACCTCATAGATAAAATGTTATACAAAATGGGAGTTACAAAAGGATGTTGATATTAAGTTTAAAGCAGTTTTTCATTCTGTATGCTCATTTTAAGTTCATAGTAACGGTTTCACATGGCTTTGTCTTATCACAGTGCACACCTGTGGCTTCATTCTTGGACCTGAATACTTTTTCCTTGAACACAAATTTGTCCCAAGCATATTTCTCTTTTTAGTGTAGTGACGAGAGCTCATTGTATTTCTTATTATGCAGCCTTACTTACCATTATGAGGAGTGGGCACATTCTATTCTTGATTTTAACTTTATTACAACTTTCTAGCAAACAACTAAAACCATCTCTTAAAACTTTCTTCCCAAGATTATTTGAATCAAATCAGGAAAATTGTGAATTCATCTGACAGCACTGATTAATTCGTGAAAGTTCATCTTTATGTTGATCTGCAAGAAATCTCACCGATAGGGTGGTCTGATGCCCAGGAATTTTTAGGCTATGTGATAGTGATAGGAAAAGGCATATCAGCTGTAAGAAGCAATCCTGAAGTGAAGTCTCTTGGGACCTTGCCTCTCAGAGCTTTGTCCATGCAAAAAGGCGGATCACCTCCATGAAGGCCACCAGCTAGCCTTAGCCTTTCCCAGATGGCTTCTCTGTAGTCAGGATGAAATGAGCTAATGTCCAAATACTCAAACAGTGTCATAGAATACAGCATCAGTAATCAAAGTAGACCATTCTCATTTTTTTCTCTAAAGTTATTTCTGCTTCCTGAGATTCCACCGTCAAGAGTTCTCACGTAAGTAGAAGAGATGGTCAAGTAGGAAATGATTCTCCATGGGTGATAGTCAGTGTCCAGCCTCTACAGCCAACTGGCTTGCCCTATCTAAATTCCACTGTTTTACTTGAAATTTTTCTCTACTTAGTTCTCTAAAGCTCTTCCTACTTCCCAGTTAGGCAGCTAGGAGAAGCACCCCGCAAAAATTCTCACCTTCAAGTGCTAAGCCAGAATAAGAATTCACTACTAAGTGTGCTGTAGAAACTTTGATACTTGTGATCTGATACAAACTTAGACGATTTTTAGGTTTCTCTATTTTCTTGGACACAGGCAGGGCATGGAGAGAAGGAGAGAACAAGGGAGCACAAGAAACTTAGAGCTTCTGGTACACACATGACCCATGCAGAGATTTCACCTCTTTTCAGCTGATTATCAAACCAGATTTCACGAAATATCATTGCTCTAGAAGCTATTTTTAAAAAGTAAGGATTCTGCTTGTTTTATAAAAACATTGTCTCTTTTAAATATTTCATTCTCAATTATGTTTTGTGCGTCACACGCTGAAACATATCCTAAATTCTTACCTTTCCTGTGTCTTAGAGATTATATTTTCAGATAATTCTGTGAGCACCTGGTGCTGACAGATGTCCCCTCAGGATTTCCTGTTAAAGTTTTTACTCATCACCGAGGCTGAGCTAACTAGTCAACCAAGGGCTGAGAGGTGACTTACCAGAGTTTCTTGTAGGGGGAACGGATGTTTCACCTCCTCTGGCTGGGAGAGCTGTACAAATCAAAAATACAGTATAAAGTAAGAAACACAGTTTCTTTCAGAGAGGGTGGAGTTTAATGAGAAAAGGTATTACGTAGTGTTCAGGGTTGGGGCGGGGGTGTCAGTTCAGTTCTTCTTTTTTTCTTTAAAGTTGCACTTAAAGTAAAAAATAGAAGGCAGCTCTGGTATGAAAGGTTTTTTTTTTTGAGGAGATTCCTTCTTCAGACTCTTTTACTTGTGTTCTCTGCTCATCCAACTACACACTTTGTTAGAAATTAGGAAAAAAAATAAGAGGGTATTAATGCCAGAAGAACAGGTATCCATTAATTAAAGCCCACATTTGAATTGAGAGAGTCACTGTCTAGGAGACAAATAACGCATGCAGTATCTCTGATTCTCACTGGTAAAGCCAAAATGGTGAGAAAATTTATTCTCCTCATAGTTGTTCTTAATTAAAGTAAACTCCAGCCAATTTAAAGTGAGATGAGGGCCTTATCCCAGACATCAACCTTGCTACTGCTTTTACTCATCCTCCCTTCCCTGTCCTAAATTTCACACTCATAATTTTTACTGCTCAGTATGACTTTTCCGTGTAAACTAAAACAACTGGTTGTCAAACAGGTACACCATACATCTTCCTGGAAACTAAACATAGTTCTCTTTTCCCTCATATATCTGGTTGCTAGTGAGATACAAAATTATGCATTTCACATAGGCATTTATAAGTGCCTGTTCTATATCAGATTTGAAGGTAACAGAATGTCTCACTCCAAGAACATAATTAATCTGGAGCCATGAAGGATTTTTCACCTAACAATGAAGAGAAGCGCATGATAAAATTCAGGAGACTATAATAATGCCGTATGTAACTATGTCAGATCAGCGGGGTGGTTGGTGGAACTTTAAAAAAAACATCAAGAAAAGACAGCAGAGACTCGGGGCAAACGCGGCTGGCGGTAAACGGAAAGGTGTCTTTCTGCTGTGGGGCAGTCATGTTTCTCCAGTATTACCTCAATGAGCAGGGCGATCGCGTCTACACCCTGAAGAAATTTGACCCCATGGGACAACAGACTTGCTCTGCCCATCCTGCTCGGTTCTCCCCAGATGACAAATACTCAAGACACCGAATCACCATCAAGAAACGCTTCAAGGTGCTCATGACCCAGCAACCGCGTCCTGTCCTCTGAGGGCTCGTTAATCTCTTGTGCTGCTAGTCCCCCGGCCGATTATCAGCAACCAAACGCACTGTAAGCCTTGAAGCCTTCCCATGCTGTTTAGAATGCTGTCTTACTCACTACGTGAATGAGTCTATATTGATGGGCCTCGCCCGTAAAAGGAACAATTTTTTTTATCATGTTTTGACTTGCTGCCAGATTATTAAAGATACAATGACTTGAAAGTTCAAAAAAAAAAAAAAAAAAGAAAAGACAGCAGAGCTAATAACACAGCACAGAGCTGCCAGCGAGACGCAAGAGACCCTGAAAGACACAAGACTTCTGTAGCCAGTGTGTCAGGCTGAATAACAGTATTCACTTCATGGTTTGTTGTAACAGGCTGTTGTCTTCAATAACTCCATTTTGCTTTGTCCTTACTCCTCATTCCCAAGATATGGCTTTCTCTTTGCACTCCAGAGCATCTTGTCTGCAATGTAAGTCTAGACCACCACCAGGATAACAGTAACTCTGGCTAGCATAGGATTATCTGACTCAAGTTCCTGGGAATGCTAATTCTATACATTACCCCTAATTCTCATTTTCCCCAAAACCTTGGAAGCAGGGAGTTGAGGCTTCAGTTTGCTTCCTTCTGGGTGACTGGCATCTTTAATAAAGACTGTTTTCTTTTGCTCACTGTATGCCTTCTGATGATTAATTTTCTTCGTGGTAAATGTCCAGACCTGAATTTGGTAGCAACAGGAGGTTAACAGCAAGTTTATAGACAAACCACAACACAATAAACAACACTCTCTTAATTACATACTCAGAAATCTTTTCAAAATAAACACAATTTAAAATCTTCATGTTTTAAAATCGTTTTCTGAGATAAACTTCTTCACTGCTGCTAGACAAATGTTATAATTCTGCATGTGAATATTATTTACTCTTATTGTCATCATGTAGATCTAGGGCTTAGCCCTGTGCTGACATAGTTTCACAGGGTAGCTGAAGACACTGGAGATCTAGCTCACCCCCCAGAGGGCAGTGTGGAGCCCTATACAGGCCCAAGAGTCACTCAGACAGGACCTCCAGTGACCTTGGCAAGATACTTCACTTCTGAAATTCCATTGACAATCCTGTTCGAGATGTGCTAGCAAGTATGTAAAGGAACAAATGCTACCAGAGATCATGCAGTTTGAAAACTATGTCTTGGAACAGAGCCAGGACAAGATTACAGTCTGCAGAAAGAAGCCCAGCTAAGCAAGACATTACCCCCTGTTAAGTGCCTGGTCCAGAGGTGTGTTCCAGTCACCTCCTGGATAGGTTTTCCTCAAGTATGCACAAAGAAGTGAGGGACTATGGACCCATGGAGAAATCTTTACTAGCAAATAAATTTACATTTTATGTGTATCACAACCATAGCACGCTGTGCTGCAACTTGGATTTCATTCTCTGCTTCACTCACTGCTTTGACCATCCCAGTTTGCATGAATTTGTTCTTATATATGTTGTACTTAGACATCAACAAAGTAATGCTTATGGTTAATTTGTCCCTCTAGACTCAATGCCCATATGGAGTATCTCAAGGCATCTCTCCTTCTGGGACACCAGTAAGTCTTTGAGCAAGTTCTTTATCTCTAGTGATTGTATTAATGTTCCTCTCCTTGCTTTGATCTCATTGCCAACAATATCACTGAACCAATATTCAGAGCATTCTTGACCAATAGAGAGATGTCAATCTTTCCCTTTGAGTTCAAGGGAACTCAACATGAACATGAGGACACAGCAACTTCATTCTAAGTCCTTATCAATAGTAAACTGAGCTGTGTAAACAGCAAATGAATCTTAGAACACAAAGTATCTAGGACTTGGGAAAGAGCTCAGTGGGTAAACTGCTTACTGTGAAAGTATGAGGACCTAAGTTTGCATTCCCCAGCATTCAGATTTTTTTTTAAAGAAAAAAAATTAAGTGTAGTAGTGCCTGTCTATAACCCCAGTCTTGAGAGACAAAGCCAGGAGGATCCTAGGGGCCTACTAGCCAGTCTAATCAGTTAGTGAGTTTCTGGGTCTGAAAGATGCTGTCTCAAAAACTAAGGTGAAAAGTGATAGAGGAAGACAACTGATTTGAGCTCTGGCCTCCACATGTGCACATACAGGTGCACAAACCCACATACACATGCGTAGACCACATACAGACAAACGTCTAATTATAACATCAACTACACTTATTATACGAAGTGGAGGAAGACAAAAATAAGAAAAATAGTCACATTCTCATAATAAAAAACTAGTCCATTTTAATACATTTCAATACTTACCCTTTCCCATGAACCCTTTAAAACTGTTCTCACACACAAACCACTCTAGCATCTGGTGATTTTTTTGTAATGTTTCTTCAATATTTTAGCACAGTAATTTACTTGTGCTTTTAAATTCTTTATGGGATAGACATAATGGGACACATTTACTCACTGAGTATGAGGTCAGCCCACTATACATAGAGAGTTCCAGGCCAGTTAGGACTAAATAGCAAGAACTTGTATCAAAAAATTTTTATTATGAATATATTTCTTTAATTGCAGATTTAATTGAGGGTTTATATCTTATTTGTACAGCTTTTCCAGTTCAGATTTACATAGACATAAAACCACCATCAAGATCTGGTGATAAGGTATATGCCCTCCATACAGCCCAGAAAGGTACTGTCTATATTGCCTAAAAAGTAAGGCTCATTCGGACCTTAGATAGATCAGATGGTTTTTAACTTCATGAAGAGGGAATCCCAGATGCTTCCTTCCTCCTGCCTGGTGTCTTTCGCTCCACATCACATTAGCTGTGTTACAAAGCAGATAGGATCTTTTCTGTAATTTGCTAACAGGAACAATGCCATACTTGTTAGTATTCTGTCTACACTCCACCTCTACAGCTACCTGACAACACCCAGGTATGCTCTTCCCCACAGTTAACTGGCAACAACCAGGTAGGCCTGCCCACTATAAAAGGGGCTGCTTGCCCCCTCCTCTCTCTTGCTCCTCTTGCCCCCTTACTCCGGAACCTGCAGGTTGCCCTCTCCCCTCCTCCTTTCCCTTCCTCCTCTCTCCACGTGGTCATGGCCAGCCTCTACTCCTCTACCTCTCTGCTCTCTCTCTCTCCTCTCCCTCTTTCTCCATGCCCTGAATAAACTTCCCATCGTAGAACCGTCTAGTCTACTGTGGTCTGTTCCAAGCTACATGTGAAAATCTAACAATACTAACTGCCATTGTCGATGTTCTTTGATCATATCAAGGACGGAATCCTTAGTGCCCACAAGGCTACCTTTAGGGTAGCCAGAAACTCCTCACAGTCCTTAGGGAAATAAGAAAATTCTACTCACCACCTTTCAGTGTCACACATTATCCTCTATGTGCTTGAACAATGTCGCTTGGGTTCAATGACTCCCAATCTTTTTACCTCCTGCCTCACACTCCTGTCATGAGAACTGGAATTGGGAAGTATTATGACATTATCCTATTTCTGTCTTTGTCTTCTAGCTATTTGTAATGGAAAATATAACTCTTTCCCCAACTTATATACCACTTATATGCACCATGGAAAATAACAAACCATGTAAATACTCAGAGCATGTTTGCTGTATACATTCATTAGATCTGTCTGAATGAACATGCTATAAACTACTGAGCTGAGTTTAGAATTCTTCCCAATGTATTTGGAATCTTGATTTTAAAACTGTGCTAAGACATGGATCTAAAGCAATCTTGAGGATGGTAACAGGTTCTAAGTACCGACTACGGCTTACAACATGCCACTGTCACCTTGAGTGGCTGAGATCACACCTGCAGCTCTATGCATAACAGGATATTATGTAAGAATCTTCTGATGACTCTGGAACTGGCAACTATAAC